GGATCCGGCAAACCAGCCAAAACCCTCCTGATGAGTGGCCCCCTCCCCCTCAGCAAACCGAGCCTGAGAAAGGGAGGCCTGGTAAAGCCTCGGAATCCGAGAGGAACAGCCTCTGGCGAAAAGCGTTAGCACTGGGTGTGCCTCCAATGTTGTTACATGGGCAGGGCACCGAGCCCATAAGGCAGCTGGTGGAATTGCTGGAGGATAAAACTGGGAATGTAAAGGAGACACCAGCAACTGCCCCCATCCCCGCGAAGCGGGAGGTGAAACCTTAACCCTTTTGTGTCTCTGCAAGGGGTGTTAAATGGACCAAAAAAACTAGAAGCTGCAGTCTGGGGACTGGCTGCCCAATCCGCTTGGTAAATACTTATCGATGGTCCCTTACTAAGGAACCCTACATACATATTCCTGTTGGTCCAAAGAGGATAAGTTTAGAGTTTTTTTAATCTCTTTTGCTCATGAAAGCAGTGGGTAAGTGATTCCTCAGTCTTTATTTTGACCCATGAGTTTTCTCCTTCCAGTTTCTTCACCAGTCTTGACAAAGGAGGAGGGAGCAGTATCTGTGCTGGTGCTTGGTTGGTAGCCAGGATTAGCCAACCATAGTGATGCAGAGAAATTAGATATGCTCAATACCCTGCACAATTTTAGCACGTTCTTGGAAACCATAACCCCTCTTTTAACTCTTTTTCCTACCATAGCTTTTCCAATAAGGTTAAAGTTTAAAAGAAACGTTTTCAAAATGACACTTTTTTTCTTTCAAAATACATTTATTTCATTTCTTGATACAAAAATGGTAAAAATTGGCCTGGCTAACTTTAAGGATGGCACTCAACCTAACATAAATACAGAACATGGAGTACAAGTCCTGTTGCCTAGAGAAGAGGGAAAATCAGGCTATTTAACATCACCTACATTACAATTCTATCAACTTCAAACAACTGAAACCATTGCTGCACTGATCAGACTTTCATGACCTGTAATGGGAACTCATATTTCTGCCTAGGGTTTCCTGAATCTGATCCCAGTCCTCTTCCAACTAGCTGATTTTTTTTCCTTTCTCAATTTTTTTTCCTGTTTCAGACTCAGGTTACATCTTATTTAATTTTACATTACTGATGTCTGAGACTTAAGTTTTCCCTTCTTCTTTCTACTCAACTGTCTTTCCTTAGCCTGTTACTTCTCATAGTCCTATTTAAAGAAGCTTTAATGGGACAGGGATTTTGACTGGGCGGATAAGAAGTGTGGGTGTCCCTTCCTTTTTAGGTAGAAATGGGTAAAACTTTTCTGCAGGTTCCTTTCCAAGCCATAAAGGCATCCTCACCAACATGGCCCTCTGCTCTGCTTCATAAAAGCTCACTTGCCCTTCCTCCAAATCCAGAAGCACACCAATCACTGAATAACTCTGCTGCTTCTCAATCCTGCGATGCCCTTCACTAGAGAAAATCTCTCCCTGGGACCTGTGCAGAGCCCAGTAGTCCTCCCCAGGAAGGATCCCTTCCTCTTCCTGTTTCTCTTTCTCTCTCATCACCCCTAGCACCCAGTCCTGCTGCTGGCCCACCTCCACCTCCCAGTAGTGTTTCCCAGCTGAAAACCCTTCCTTCCCCACCAGGACAGGGACTGTGGAGGAAGCGTTTGTAGGTTCAGACACATTGCTCTTCACATCTGAAACCCCTGGCACCTGGAGTTCCAGGACTCGGCAGTCAGGATTCACAGTTAGGGCAGCTGGAGAAGAAAAGGAGAATCATCCAATGAAAAGACTAGCTCAGGAACCTTTCTCTGCACAGGGCTATGGATGAAGTGTTCAAAGCTCTGAGCAGCCATGGCCTTTCTCAGGGTGCGAGTCCACACACTTTGCCATACATCTCTTTATCCTTTTCCTGTGGCCATCCATCCGCTCCAGAATTGTTGGTCTTCTCAGAATCCACATCCCTCACATGCATCATTTCCTGTTACCCAAACCAGGCATATTACTGTGACTCCAGCTCAGTCACTGTATCTCTAACATCATGGCATTGCCATTCCAGGGTGACTTGGACAGATGGCCACTTCATTTTCACACCCTTCCTCCTGCCAGCTCACCTGCATGACTCCGGGCTTCCCAGAAATCTGCAGAAAGGAAATAGACATTACAGTATTATGTTTTTAGAGGACAGTTAGTTACTTCTCAGTGTAAAATACTGAGAAGGCTACTAATGTGCAATCTCTGTCATCCTGTTATTCTGCATCAGTTTTAGCCTTCCTCCTTGTATTCCACAAACACTTCTAATTACTAGAATTTTAAACCACTTACCTAGCTCTGCTTTCAGTCGACCTGAAAGGCAAAAATATTCCAGTCACCAACACTTGTTTTTCTTTTTTTTATTCTAGTTTTCCAAAATAGAATAACGCCAAAGTATGGCATAGGAGATTATTCCTCTCTATAGGTTGATATTTCACCATATAACTTGGCTTCAAATTCATGGATAACATAGACATACTCGCCTGAGGCCTTGTCTTGTTGTTTCTAAACTTGACAAGATTGTCAGATTTACATAAGACATGTTTTCTTACCAAAGCGCTTTTTGAGTTTGGACTTTGCTGCAAAGGAATAACATGAATGAGTGATGTAAAAAAGGCAAAAATGAAAAAAATGTTTCTCAGAAAGACATTAGAATGATGTCCCCAGTACTGTGTACACTTATGATTTCTGACATGAAATTTGCAGGATAAAAGCAGTTACAGTTTTTTCTCAGTAACATAAGAGAGATAGGAGAGAATGAGAAAACTGTATTGAGAATTTGGGTTCCTTTCAGTAATTTTAAATGAAAGCAAGCTAATTAAACAGAGTAGCTTATTTTCATTGAGGCAGAACAGCATCCATTCTCAATGAATTTTTTAAGAAAATGAGAGTTACCTGCTTGGTTTTTTGTTTTCTCTTCTTCTGAAAAGTTCAGCACATAGAATAAAAGAAATACTATTAGCAGAGTACTTATTGGCTATAAATTTGAAGTTAAAAATTACTTAGTGGACTATTGCACTGCATTCCATAAAGCCTTAAAGTTGTGTCATTTCTGTGGGAAACAAATCCATCCAGCACACTTTCTACTAGATAGTTTTACAACTAAACACACACACACAAGTCCTACAATACTTAAAGCCTTTCTTTTCTTAAAAAAAGTAAATATGTCAAACTATGCCTGCCGTTTTTCACATGAAAATTAGTTGATTCAGCTGAGCCTTGCATTACATTTCAAACTTTTAACCACATTAAGCTGTGCCACCAAATCCAGTAATCAGATGCAAACAGACAAACAAATCAACCCAGAAAAAAAACCAAAGTGAACATAACTTTAGCACAAAGACAATTAAATGCGTGAACAGCAAAAGCATCTTACCTAACACTGACTTCAATTGGTTTTTTTCTAGAAAAGACAGTAGACAGCTATCAGTGTAAGCTCTTTGATAGAATGGCTCAACAAGACAAACCATATAGCAAGTGCAACCTTGGATTACACTGCCAACTGCTTTGAGTTAAGTACATGTCGATCCAATTCAATAATTTAAGCCATGAATGTATCACACTATTTCAACTTTATTATCTTTAGATAACTCAGTAAGTTATTCTTTGGATAAGTCCTGAAGCAGCTGTGAACAAGACTTTTATTTGTACTGCTGGTAGAGGACTTCTTTCAAAGCCTGATTAGTTTGTGCTTTAATTGACCACATTTATGAGAGTTATTCAGATGGGTAGGCATCTGAATGCATAGTGCATTTGAGATGGCCTTGTGTACCCCATGTGGCATGTAGGGATGTCTCTAAAAGGTCTCTGATCTCCTGTGGAACTCTGTTAGTTCACATTGTATCTGTCAGATACAGTCAAAGATCAATGAATTATCTGCTTCCTTCCGGGATGACAGCTAGGACATAAGCGGGATGACCAAGGACATCACAAATTATCCAAGGCACCTGCAGGTACTTAAGTGGATTGAGCCATAGGCATTCAAGGTCCCACTGACGATCTATAAATAAAGTTCACAGAGTTTACGGGGCCACTCAACTAACTAAGGGTAACTCTGAATAATCTTGAAAAAGGCAGAAGAGTGGTCACCATGGAGAGGTTAGGAGTATTAGAAGCTTTCCAAGAGATTTCCATCCAAGAGTAGGCATTTGATTTGAGTTTTCAAAAAGGTCACTGCTGGCCTGTCACTTCCTTGTAAACATCTGCAGTCTTGACTAGACAGCAGACCTCGTGTGGGCTACAATGTGCAGTTGTCACTATTGCCTTATCAATTAAAAGGGCTGACACTCATGCAATAACTATATTGAAAATCCACATTTGGGTATTGATTCCCTGAATTTAATCTTTGTGACTTCTGAACATTTTGGCATCATTTCAAATGCAAAGGGCTTTTACCTTCTTCCATTTCCATCTTCACTTTTACTGAAAAATAAAGAAAATGGATCATAATGCTTTTTATTCTTTTTAAATCCCCTTATAATATACTAGTATTTTCTATGTATGAATAGAAAGAAAATAGGGTTGAAACTTTAATTTAATTTAACCTAAGAAACTTATCAAAGTTTCTTCTTAGTCCAAAGAATTTCTAATTTTTATGCCAAGATATGTCTCATTTCTAACGCAGTTCACAAAAAAACTGAGGTAGCATTCTGAGACATCCTGGACTTCCTAGCTAGGTCTTGTCCCAGCTGTAGCCCAGTGGAAGTTCAGAGATCAGGAATAAACAACTTCTGACCCCATGGGTACATTTATTATCAACTGCTAGACCTTGTCTGGGAACAGAACCAGAAGTGCCTCAGGGAACAAAATTATTCATGTGTTTCATTTGTTAGAATAATCCCTGCCGTGGTTATAGCATGAGTCGATTAGTACTCGCCCTAACAAGAAGCAGAAATCATCTAAGCAATCACATGCGCTGAAGGCCATCACCAGTAGATAGTTTGACTGTGGATACTCTGTCCTGGT